AGACTGAAAACTTGATTGGTATGGAGGGGGTTATTTTGCAAACATTTCAACTGTTGTCACTAATTTTAGCTGAGTTAAATTAAAAAATTACTTGCTCCCTAATTGAAAAGTAAGACCACATGAAACACGTTTTAAGAAACGTGTCACTCAAATATTAATTATTCCTATAAGGTATCTGCTCATTCCTGAAAAATGTTTAAAACAATAACTACTTTTAAATGCATCAACAGTCTAAAGTGCTTGCTCATCACTTTGTTTCTGGGGTAACTGAGGTGGAGTCTCTGTTGCTTCTTCAAGATTATTTCCAGAATTGAAGATTTCTGCTTCAGCGCTCTTTACATCCATGTTGTTCTCCTCGTTCTCCGTCTTTTCATTCGAATCCTTTGCCTCTCCATTATCGTCTTTATCCCTACCTGTGTATGTTGCTTCAGTCTCCTGCGCTGGTCTCTGTTCATCTGATCCTGAAGGAGCAGCCTCTTCACAGCAGACTTGTTCTGACAGCGAAGAGGAGTTCATTGAGGTTACAGGGGAGAGAGATGGAGAAGTGCTGGGCGAGTCGTATGGGGAGAGGGAGAGAGGCACTTTGGGGGATATAGATGGGGACTGATAAGGTGAGAAGGATGGGGAAGAGCTGGGAGAGTAGCGAGGAGAGCGGGAATGACACGCTTTGGGGAAAAGAGGGGGGGCTCTTGGAGAAACTGATGGCGACTGGTAAGGAGAAAGCGAGGGAGTGTGGGTACTGACCGCAGAACAAGGCTGCATGTAATCATCCAAAAGATGCTCCATTATGGCTGGTAGCTGAGCTAAAGCCATTTCCTGTTTGATGTCGGCTTCAGTGTGGCCCATCTCGCTCTCTGCTTGGCCCTCTTCCTGTATCTCTGGCCAGACATAAAGATCTACTGATGGAGGCTGCTCAACCTGAAGTGTTCCTCCTTTGGATTTGATTCCTCCTCCTTTTAAATCTTTACATCTCGCTTTGGTTTTAGGCATGAGGGGTGGAGGAGGTGGCGGAGCAAGAGGAGGGGAGAGCGAGCTTGACGTCTCTGTGGAAACTCGAATCTTTAAGCTGCGTTTGAACATGCGCCTTCTGGAGAAAGCATTCTGTGACTGCAAGAAAAGAGGGTTGATGAAGCAAAGGACACCCTGACCGGAGCCGCAGTTCAGTTCTCTGGGGCTCCGTGTTGTGATTGGACAAAACTCCTGGAACAGAGTTGGATTTGAATCAGATTTAGTGCCGTTTGAGTGGGGTTCAGCTGCACTGAGCCGGTTCCCTACATCCAGTTGGAGAACACAGTCTGGCTCAGCTGCACAGCTAGTCTGTAGAAGAACAGGTGGTCCCGATGTTGCAACATCTGGATTCTCCTCTTTTCTGAGCTTTGGAGGATCCCGTGGCCCACGGACATTCAGATGGGAACGCCAGAATTCTGGAAAAGAATTGGGATTTTAAAGTGCACATTTCAGTTAATATCATTTAATACGTATTTGAATACAGTAGCTCTCAAAAGTGTTCACACCGCACACCATTTGATATGTACTTCTTTTTTTCCTTTAATATATCTTAATGTTTAGCTATTAACTATGTACTAACTTTTAAACTTTTTTTATTGTAAGTTTTTTCCCATTGCAACAGTTTAGCACTTTAATAGGGGTGTGTACAATTTCAAAATCCACCGTCTGTGGATGAGTTATGTAATTAAATCCCTTCTTCAAAGCTTCAGACAGTTAAAGAGTAGGTTGCAAAATCTGCTGTGAGGAAACGGGTAATTCCCTCACCAATTCCCATGTGGGAGATGGACTCGAGCTCCTTGTGTGATGACGCCTTTGCGATGGCTTCAGGAAGCTCCAGAGGAAACGGCAGCACATCCCTGAAATGCAAATGCAACATCCGATCACACAAGATGCTCCGGCACCTAAATACTTAATGATTAAAGATGCAATATAGTTTGGAAGAAGAAATTGATTGACACAAAACTAGAAAGGAACTTTGAGTTTCCCTTTTTTACCTGCTGACACAATAAAAGGAAATTAGTCGAGGGAGATCTGGAAAGCTGATGGCTGAACTCTCCAGGGACAAAGCTGTTGATAAGAAAAGTACAAAAACGTGTGACAGTGGTTAAAAATAGTTTACATATAACTAGCATTTAACAATTTCTGAAATAGTTATTTTTGTGAGACAAGACTGACAAAAACATGGGGTTAGAGATGGAATGATGTTCTTACTGGACTGCTCTTCCCTAATGCCGAACTCCTGAACAAACGACGGCACACTGTCATCTGCCAAACGAACACAGAGCACGTTCTTTTGGGATGTGCGGGACTTTCTTACCAGGAACGTCTGTAAGATGAAACTTGTTACTGAATCTCAGAGTCAGGTTGGTGAAATTACATGAATTAAATGTGTATAGTACAGTCAGTGAAAAAGTATTTTTCCCTTACAGGTTTATTCCTATTCAAGACAAACTCATTGACATCTATCAGTCAGGAAGACGTTTCAAATTTTTATTCTAATCTAGGTCATTGATCATAATTCAGCAACAAGACACAAACTGGGCAAAAAGCCAGTGTCTGTGGTTCAAGACAAAAACCACCAGAAAATATTTTAATGATCTCCAGGACATCTGGAAAAATGGTCTTTGGAGTGGCAATACAAAAGTAAAATTAAATTCAGGAAAAAGGATTCTACTGGGAGTAAACATTGTGGTAGGTTGATGTTCTCGGTCTGCTTTCTGTTTTAGGACCTAGAAAGCTGGAGCTCTGAATTCTGCTCACAGTCAGAAAATCCTTGAGAATATTATCTGGCCATTAATTTACCTTGAACTCAAACACACTTGGGTCATGAACAGTTTAAACAAGCCATACATGATTAAAAAAAATTGAAGTGACAAAAAAGCAAAATTGTGAGTGATCCGTGAATTGCCAAATTCTTATTTACAGTGCTCTGTGTGCATAACAAGAAAGTGTGCAGCATAGATTTGTGTCAGACCCCAGGAGGTTCCCTCTGCAGAATGTGCAGCGCGTTTGCTGGGTTGATGGACAGCTGCAGCCAGACAGGAACGGTAAGCAGGAGACGGTCCAACACGCTGATGCTTCTCAGGGAGCCCCTTCCTCTTTGAACCCCTAGGAGTTTATGCTTTGAATGCTGGGTGGGCTCCGGGAAATCATACAGAGGCTCCTCCTGCTGTGCCATCTGAAAACACACACTCACACATCAGTAACTGCACTGTTATTAGCTGTACCAGTAATGATCAGGCGGTCCCATTATATTATCAGAGTTGATTATGCCTTAGTCAATAAGATGGGTGAGACTGCTTCACAATGAGACACACACCTGCAAAGAAAATCTGTCTGGATTTGAACTGCAAGTTCAGACTTGGTCAACTGGAGCAGCTCTGTGAGAGAGAGAGCTTAATAAAATAGCAATTCAAGTCAAAGCCTAAACAGACAGAAAACTCTGACATCACATCATATTTCATAGTAAAACTTCGTGTTTTACTATCAGCATCTTTATTTCTATTCTGTTGAAACTCTACCGACAGCATGAAGGCCAACATCATTCTGACTGCGCAGCATGCGTTCCTAAAACTTCCACTCTGAAGAGTGGAAACGCTATCTTTTCCTCAAGCTCTAATCTTGCCATTTAAATCTGAACAACTCAAATATTAAGATTACCAGACTTTTTTCTGCTCAGATCCTGTTTTCTATCCTCTCGGGTTCCAGTTTATCGTGGCGTGCTCCATGTTCTTCCGTCTCCAAGTTTACAACCAAGAAAAGTCACTGCTCCTTCCACTCCGGCCTGTCATGACGTGCGCCTGCAGATCCACAAGAGTATGTGGCTCCTCCTTCCACCTGGAAGGAGGATGTCACCTGGAAACAAATCTCCTCTTACGGTCGTGTAAAAAATGAATAAAATAAATAAATAAAATAACAGAAAATAAGCCCTCGCACTACTGGTGGGATAGGCTATGGGTCTCACAACAGTCATTGATTGTGATTGACTTCGCCTGGATTCATTTGGTAAAATAGCGCCTCCTGCTGGTAACTCGACCTGAACAAGCAGGTTAGCGAGGGGGGCGGAGAAAAGGGGTAGGATAAATGAACGACAATTCAATAAAAATAATACTGCTGATACTTTTTATTTTACTTTATTTATTCATAATTTTTTTGTAATCTATTTTCTTTCCATAAGTGTTTGGAATATCTGAGAAAGAATATGCAAAATAACGTGTAAATTAGCTTAATGTATTCTTGCTTTCTGTTTTTTATATTCTTTTTATGACTTAAAACATGCGAAACAAACATGATTTGCTGTTCACGTGATCAAAACTAGATTTTTGCAACTATTTTTAATTTAATTCCTAAATACCCTCCTGTTTTTTTGTATTATGTATTGAGTGATGTGGCTTAATGGGTATTATGTATTGAGTGATGTGGCTTAATGAGTATTATTAAAGAAGGCTGGAAAGAGCATAATATGTTGGTTTGTTTCTGTCAATGCAATGGTGTAAATAACTGATTTATATGCAAAAATATTTGCTTTTATTGTATCTTCTTAGTTTTGGGGTATTGTTACTTTCCTGCAATACAATGGCAAGTCAGTGTGACCAGATCTCATTGGCTGTTAAACGAATGTTTACTTGAAAATATGAAGAACAAAATTTATACCCGAAAGAGTAAAAAAGAACTGTTATTAACTATTGTTGATGTTTTAAAATATCTCTACTGTTTTAGCTGTGGAAAAACTCAAAATAAAATCATTTTAAAACCTAACGTAGTTTAATTTTAATGTAGGTTACAGCTGGGCACGTTGTTGTGACGTTTTGTTTGTAACCCTTGACAAGTTTTTCTTCCAATAAACAAATAATCTTATTATTAGTTATTAAAACTACCCAACATCTGCGTTTTATGAAAGTGCTACGTCTTTTCTTTTTTTCCTCGAATAGCGTAACCGGATGTGACGTCTGAATCACGTCAGCTTACGACCGCGTTGGGTAAGCTATCTGCTCCATTTAGGCTTAAATGTTTGTCTGGTCTTTGATTTAAATACAGAAAAAACGAATATTTGTTCGGTATGTTTGTCTGTATGTGTTTTAAGCAAAATGTATTTAGTTTAAGCATACCGTTGCAAATTTATTCATATAACAGCACTGTTAGCTTTAGCTTGTACGGCTAACGCTGCATCATTAACGCTAGCGTTAAACAAAATGGCCAAGAGTTTTAGCTAACTGATGGTTGCATTTTTTGCCATGAACACGTCGTTTTGATTTCATCAATTTTAATTTTGGTCTCCTTTTATCTAGTTTATTTGTTTAATGGTATCCTTAGTACTTTCCTAAATCAATTTCCACTGCTAAAGTTAACGGTGATATTAGCTTAGCTTATTACACGCCTGCCAGAAAGCTACATCTTTGTAAATATTCGGACTCTTTTGGTACCACAAGTCTCTTTGAAGCGTTAAAAACCCCCAGAATGATACAATTGTGCCATTACATTATATTTCTGGAGAGTCGTGGGAAGTTAGCAAATGGGTAGCTAACGTTCGGCGGGGAATATCGAACCTAACGTCTTGTTCCAATAAATGCTGTTGTTCTTTTCCAGATGTCTGGTTGATACAGAGATGAGCGGTGAGAACGTGAAGCTGTTTGTGGGGAACCTTCCTTTAGATGCTACTCAAGATGAACTAAATAAGCTTTTCGCTCCTTATGGAGAAATCGACACATGTTCTTTGCTCAGACAGTATGCGTTCGTGACCCTGAAAGGGGAGGGCGCAGCAGACAGGTATGTAACTGTCCGTGATATTTGTAGTCAGAAATGGATTGGTGTTTTTGACGTGTCGAGATTTCAATAGACTGTTAACGTGTGGAAAGGCCATGAAGTTTTTTCCACCTTGGTTTAAATGAAACTTTGAAAAAATATTTTAATTACAGGTCAAATAATTTTAGGTAGCAATCTGTTAATAATCTCAGTTTTAGTTCGTGAAAACTCTTTTCTGGTATTGATCTATATTTGATTCGTAAATGTATGATTTAATTCAGTTTTGTTGTGTTATGCTGTGTCTATCCTACAAACCCATTGACTCAGGGAAACAACAAACTGAGTAAAAATTAATTTGCCCCCAGTCAACCAACCCTCCATTTACCATTGACTCATTTAGCATGAAAATGTTTGTATAAAAAGAGGTTTGGCTTAAAAATAGAAATTTCCATAGTTTAACAAAACCAGTTATCTGTTATGAAGCAAATTCTAAAGATTGTAGAATAATGTTGAAGCTCAGTAACCAGTAGGTGTAAAGGCACTGAAGTTATATGTCTGATCTTTGCTGAGTTTGTCCAAACTTCTGATGTTGGTTTCATTCCTTCAGGGCCATACGGCATCTGGATGGCAAAGAGTACCGAGGCAGGCCACTAGTTGTTGAAGAGTCGCGTGCCCGCCCGCCTAATTCCATTAAAGTGTTTGTAGGAAACATCAGCGCGACATGTTCAGCAGATGACCTCCATGGGCTTTTCTCAACCTTTGGAAGAGTTTTAGACTGTGATAAAGTCAAAGGTAAAGGTATATAAACCAGAATGGCCAATAATACTCAAAAGAAATACAAAAATAGTCAAACATTTGTGTCTTGTAAGCTGATGGCCACGAAATTTGTTTTGCAGCAAGATTATGCTCAAATGTTGGGTATGCATTCGTGCATATGGAGAGGAAGGAGGAGGCCCTGGCAGCTATCGAAGCTCTCAACGGGACCATGTTCAAGGGCCGTCAGCTGGCTGTGGAGCTTTCCAAAGCGCAACCTTTGATCAATCAGATTCCAGGGGGCGGAGATTCATCTGCAGGCGGAGGTGTTGCAACTGAAGATGAAGAATCCAGCTTTCTTTCTGTATTTAATAAAAATAATAATAAAATACAACCTTTCACACTTGTGATCTTTGCTTCTCGCTTCCAGGTGGCAGAGAGGGTCTTCTTCCACGTCCTCCTCCGTCACTTGAACATCACCAGAGTCAAGCAGCTGTGCTAGCTGCTGCCGCCGCTGCAGCCGCTGGCCTGCCCATACAAGTAACTAAAATAATAAAATAGAATTTTTAGTAGCGAATGAAATCTAATAGTTAAATAACTGTACACTTTCCATTTTATTTCAATACCATTTAGTCAAGTCAGATTGGAGTTTCATGTCTTTTTAATAATGTCCATAATTTTTCTTTCAGGTTCAACAAAGTGTCCATAACTCATTTTACAACACAACAACCTTTGACCCCACCTACGCTGCTCTCAAAGGCCTTACCAGTTCTAAGGGGGCAGATGGGGTGATATACGGTGCTCTTGCCAGCCAGGTGTATGGATCTGTTGCTGACCAGGTCTACCAAGAACTGGCCCATCACAATCCTGTGGCTGAAGAGGCAGAGCAACCTGCTGTTCCAGATCCCACAACGCTCTTCGAAGCAGCAAGAGCCAAGTTCTTTCAGGAAGGACAGAAGGCTAGCAAACTTTTGTATTAAAGCATGTTTTGTTAATACAGATTCTTAAAAAAACCCCAAACAGTTAGCCTAATTAATATTTCTTCATTACATTTGAATTCTAGGTTCTGGCAGAGCAGCAGGCAGGAAGAAAAGCAGCAGCAGCAGCTGCTACATCAGAAAACGAACGAGATCGCAGTCCAATCAGAGGAAACCGGGCCCCTCTTCTTCCTGACCCGGTTCCTGGTTCCTTTGCTCAGATACGCCCCAAACGACGCACGCTTCTGCCAACACCACCTGGAGTCTCTGAAGATGCAGCACCTGCCACCACTACGTCTGAAGGGGCGGATCCTGTTGCTAGGTAACGCATTCATTTACAGTGGAGCCTAAAGAAAATCAAATTTCTATCATATTGGAAGTCATCATTTACTGTTCCCACATACACTAGATCTTACCAAATAGTTTTGATTTAGTTTCTTGTGCAAATATTTTAGTACACTTGAAATAAGACAAATCAAACTTACTAGTAACTTGTCAGCAAAAATAGTTTCTTTTAAGTCAATAATTTATTAATATTGATGAAAAATGACTAATTATGTGTTAAATAATCTGCCAGTGGAACAAGACATCTATTATTTAACAGGATTTTCCCTCCAGGGTTGCAAGAAGCGCTGGTGATTTCCTCCATCAGTCATCGAGAGAAACATTTGGTCAAACAATAAATGTTTTCACAGTATAAGGAAAAATGTAATCCGCTAGCAGATTATTTCACTTATAAGTAGTTCTTTTCCATCAATATTAAAGAGTTATTAACTGAAAACAAGCTCCTGTTTGTTGCTGAAGTTTGTTTTGTTGTATTTCAATTGTACTAAGATATTTGTACTAGGAACTAGACAAAAATACTTGGCAAGAATTTGAGTTTTTGAAGTGTAAACTCGGAAGAAATAATCTTAAATTATCTAGGTCAAGCCAGAAGTTTTTTCAAGGGTTCTGAAATTCATTAAATATTTTCAGTATTTCGTAAGAGATGAGCTTTTTGTTGTTCTTTCTTTCCCTGCTCTTTTGACTTAGTACTCAACTTAAACTTGCTCTCCAGGTCATACTCAGAATACTACCAGCAAATGCATCAGTACCAACAGTATCAGCAGTATCAGCAACAGTACCAGTACCTCCAATACGCTTACACCAATCCTCCGCCACCACCGCCTCCTCCACCGGGCAGCGCTCAGACACAAGCCCCTCCCACCACCACCCCTGCACCGCCAGGGACTTACACAGCACCGCCAACTTATGCTTCAACAGACGCCTATGGAGCCCCAGGAGCATATGCCGCTTCAGGAGGTTACGATGCGTCGTCGGGGACCTACGACACTTCATCTGGGAATTACAATGCTTCTTCAGGAAGCTACGACGCCTCAGCAGGATATGACACGTCTGGAGGCTACGGTGCATCGGGAGCATATGATTCATCTGGAGCTTACCCAGCAACGGCAAACTACTCCACATCCACACCGTATGAGCAGACACCCGCACACGGGCAACCCACGCCCCAGCGTCACGATTACCCTTACCACACGCCAGAACCCCCTTACCGATAGTCCCACCCCTCCCCAACACACTCCATACACACTGCCAATGTGTGTGCTTACGTATATGTATTTACATGAGGGACAGTTTAAAAGAAAACTTGAACAGGAAGCCAGGTTGTATTCGAATGTGCTTTGCATTTTAAGCATCGTTTCTTTCTTGGCTAAATGTTTTTCCCATGATCGACCAGTTAGCAAGAAGATCTTTAAACACGTGGAGATAATTTGGCAATATTGGTCAGCTTTCAAAGTTTCTTTTAGATGTTGTGGCAGAACTGGTTCCTAGTTGACTGTTGCCGGGGACAAGGTTAGGTTGGAGGACGAATTTAGCATTTTTACTTTGTTGCTGGATCAAGGCCCCTTTTATACTTTTCATAGTTTCTTTTCCACAGATTTGTTTTGCTTAAATGTTACTCTGTGGTTTCCTTAGGGGATCCAGAATGTTGCATTTTTCCTCAATTACTTTGCCCAACAATTTATTAAATTGCCAGGGGAAGCTAAAATTAAAAAAAAATTAGTTGGTCAACAACAATCAACAAAATGTCAAATATTCTCTGAATACCAGTCCAAAACTGTACAAAAAATGGTTTCTAACAGTCTCTAAAGATTTATTGTCAGGGTTTATTCCAGAAAACTGTTGTAGTGTTGTGAGATTGGTGGGTGACCTGAGCTCAAACCTTTGTTTTGCAATCCTTGGATTAACTGAGTTTTAAGGTGTTCTTTTTCTGTTTATTCAGATAAGAGAAATACTTCTGAGTAGTATTTCCAAATCAAAGTCAGTCAGGGGGTTTGTCCTGTGACTTAAAGGTCACAGGACAAAAGCTAACATTTTTTCACCCAAAGTTATTAAATACATTAAAACTTATAATCCCCATTTGCAGTCCATAAATCAACCAATGGCATCTACTTTAATGCCCTAGGTCAGCTGAATAAAAATAAAATGATTAGGGATTGTGCTTTAGTGTTTTTAATGAGTACATTTTTTGTATCTTCATAACTACTACCTCTGTCAGATCCCTGGAGCACAAATTTTCTCCTTTGTGTTGTACATCTTAGAATAAAAAATGTGAATCGGCAGGTCAGAACGTATATAATAAAATTGGTGTTGAATATGAAAAGCTTGATGTTTTTCTAGCTGCAAATAATAGGAATTAAATGGTTTGAGAGGTAAATCTGACTTTTTGTTTTTGTTATTTTACAGAGAGAAATCAAGGTGATAGAGCTCACCATGAAGCTTTATGAAGAAAAGGTTTTGGCTGATGACAATTAGCTTCTGAGTTTTGCTTAATGAGCATTCATTTAAAAAGTGCTGATATATTTTGGCTTAGCCCGCTGTTAGTTTGATGTTGCACAGAAGGACTTGTTTGGACTGAAGTGGTTGCGTATCAATCAGATCCCATCAGCTGTCCCAGTATCAAAAAGGGATTTGTGAAAATTAAAAATTGAGTGAAACTTTGAATAGGTTGGTTAATTTGAACTTGTTTTCCTAAGGTGTTTACTTATTTTCCTTATATAAGACTGATGTTTGGTAGTAATAAAAACAAGAGATTGAATTTCATTGCGAGTTAGATAACACTTTAGAAATGGGAAGCTGCTTATTTTTGCTCCTTGGCTGACCTTGTAACTTCACAGTTTTGATCATTTGAGTGTTTTGGGCAGAAAATGGTGCCATCTGCCAGACGATGCTTCACTTTGTCCCTCATTTTGTGTCCACCAAAAGAGGGCACTTGCACCCACTTTGACAATTTTTTTTTAATGTAAATTTCAAAATTCTGCTAAGGAAATGTGTTTATTACATGACTTCATTAAAAATAATCTACCAGAAGCCACTTAATTATTTTGGTTTCATCAAGGGTCATTTAAATAATGAATTGGTCAAACTGCAGACCAGAACCAAAAATAAATAGCTATGTGTTGTAACACACAGTTTTTAGATATTAACATGCAGTTTAATTCAAGCATATTTTGACTATCACAATGTACTTGAAAAGTGGGGAATGAATTGATCTTTTGATTGGTTAATTATTTTTCTTCACCAGACCATTTACTTGTACAATAGGGGTCTGGTATTTTAGCTATTAAAGCATCAAATCAGAATCTTTGGATTCCATTAATTCATTTTCATTCTTTGGTAAAAATAAATTAAATACATTTACATCATTGCATAATTTTAGACTGTTGTTTGATAAACTTTTTTGTTGTGTACATATTTGAATTTGCAAAAGCCAGGAGTAACATCATTGAGCAAACATAGTGATTTAAAATTTCTATTAGTAGCTGTTTTTTCCTTTTTTCTCTCCTGTTGTCAGGTTCCCCTCCATTATAGAAAACATCAGAGCTATAAGGGAAATGTAAACTTTGGTACGTATGTATTGTACTGGTTTGAAGTTGAGATTGCAAAAATAGTTTACTACAGTCATCTTTTGAGAGAGATGTAGGATTATTTCTTCCGTTATATCTTGTGGTTTTATTTGGATGTTGACCAGATGGAAATGGAAATGAGGTGATGGAGAAGTTGTTTGCTCCAGCGGCAGTGTGAAGGGCAGATAATGTTTTTTTTCTCGGCTGTTTTCACCAGAGCACACCTTTTTATTTGAAGTCAAAACAAGGATTTGTTTTATTCTGGAATCCCTATCACAGTTAAATAACAGCTTAACTCAAAATGGAATTTTTTTTTCTTTGACGCATCAAAAACAGACCAAACATGCTAATTTACTGTCGTTTCACAGCATCCATCTCGTTTTTCATGGGACACCTGAACTGACAGTTTTAGGTTCAAATGACACATAGCAACTCAACATTTCCACATTATTCCACCTTCTCCATGTGAACTGTTAGTTGCATGCATTGTTGTTGCTGCTGCTCCAGCCACCTTCTTCCTCTTGCTGATTATTGCAGCTAGAGTGGGAGGGAGCCAAACTGAGCCCTTGCCCTGGACGTACGCCGCACGCAGCTGTAGAGTGGGATGGGGGAAACAGCAGCGTTAGGCCTGAAACTGCTGTGGACGATGGGGGTGTCCCCCCACTAAAGGTAAACACTCAGACCACACACTCCTGCCCCGGCCCGAAACACGTGAACACACTCACAAGCACATATTTCTTGACTTAACAGCATCAGCTATGTCCATGCTCACTATTCCTTTTTTCCTGTTTTTGGGATTTTAATTTGTCAGGATACCTGGAAAAATTTCCCCTGTCTTTTTTTTTTTTTTTTCTTGATTTTTTTTTTTTTTTAATGGGAGAGAATCTTTTTTTTTTCTCCTCTGGTTTTCCGGCTTAGATTTCTTCAAGCATACTGAGCGATACATTCCTGTTTCTGACTTGAAAAGTCACATAATTCTTTGAGGACATTTATACCACCTTTATATTTAATCTGACCGTTTTGAGCTGCCATTTTGTTTTTACTGCTACCTGCCACTTAAAGAATACCAAAACCAGATTTGGGACATTTCAGTGGGATGGAATGTTTTAGGTTTTATAAATGTGACCCGGCGGCCACTTTGGGGTTAAGTGCCTTGATGAAGAGCCCTCCATTTCAGAGTTGAATAACCTGGCTCAGGATCGGTTGCTGGTTCGACGCTAGACTCCCCGTCTCCTAAAAACAGTTTTTTTGATGCCACTTTCAACTTGTAAGAATGACAATGAACACGAATTCTACCATGTTGTTTTAAATTACATTTTGTCCTTTTTGTTCTTTGAAATGTTTCATTATCAATAAATGAATTCCAACCAAGCTGTATTATTTTTTGTGTGTATATTTGTAAAGCTTGTGCTTTGACAGGAATAACTCGGAGATGAACATCAGGTGATGTTTTTATTCAATTTTCTTCCAAAAAAACATTTATTTATCTCTTTATAGATAAAAAAACAAACAATCCAAACCTGATGGTAATCTGATCACTTTAATACTAAAAAAAAAAATTGCTGGAAGAAATTTAAATGAGAACCTACTCCCTGCAAGGAAGAGTTTGTCATAGACACTGCTGAGTTCCAAGCACTCAACAACAATGAACAGCTAATGGACACAAGGGGGCTGAATGAGTATTGAATGCAGTATAAACAAATGGTATGCTGAGGTAATAAGATGAAAAAAGGTAAGATGAAAAACTATACAGAATGGGGCATTGACTCAGCAACATGAAAATGCAGCAGTTTCCAATAAAAGCAAGTCAGGCATCCAGCAGCCAGACAAACAGGAAAGTCTGAAGTTATTTCCCTTTCAAACAAACAATGTTCCTATGGGACTTTTTTTGAAATACTCTCAACTAGGTTTGTATAGTCATCTGTTGCATACTTATAAAATTACATTTTATAATTTTTCACAAAGCAAAATAATGGAATTGCTTAAAAAACATGTAACGGAGTATTTTTATTGAATTGGTATTTCATTATGCTCACCTTTAGTTGAGCTCATTTAACAGGAAATATTAATTATTTTGAGAGACCCAGCCAAAATCCTGACTTGTGCTGGTTGAACCGATCTGTAGAAGGACTCTACGATGAGTTTATCCAACATTACTAGAACTTAAACACGCAATGGCCACTTTATTAGGCACATTGTACAATGAAATGTGGCAAACAAGCAAGTTAATTGCAGGGCAGCAACTCAATGTATTTATGCATCTAGACATCTGAAGCGATTTGTTGAAGGGGTTAAAGTTGACTTTGAATTTGGCATAATAGTTGGTGTCAGGTTGGGTTCCTGAGTATTTCAGGAAGCGCTGATCCTGGAATTTCCATGCACAACCCTCTCTTTGGTTAAAAGCAAAAATATCCATCATGAGTTGTGGTTGGACACAAAAAAGCATTTGTGATGAATGGCTTGACCGGTTTAAGGTGTTAGAAAGGCAAAAATAATTAAAATAGCTGCCTGTTGGAACACCGGCAAACAAAATCTCTGAACCTCAATGTAAAGAGTCACAGTAGCAGAAGACCACTTCTGTCAGCTGAGAACAGAAAAGCTGATGCTACAATGAGGCCCATTTTCTCCAAAAACTTAAATTGATAGTTCTGAATGTTTATGGGGTGTACAACATTATACTAGTTAGTTGTACCTAATAAAGTGGCTGATGTGTGGTTTTCATTAGTTAGTATGGTATTTGATTTTGTTCATCTAGTTTTCCCCAAGATTACCTAACCCCTAGCAGATTTTAAAGTAATCTTAATTTTGCCAAAATGTCTCCTGACTGAAAATACTAATAATTTTGAGTGACCTAGTCAAAGTCCTGACTCCAAACTATCTGAAGAGTAAAAGAGGGTAAAGATGCACTTCAAGAAAAAACCCTGAATTGTCCAAAAAGTTGGCTATCAATCTTTTAAGATGTTATTTTCTATAACTAAAATAATGTTTTTGCTGAACGAAAGTGATGCCAAACTCAGTAGTTAATGCAATTTTCCTGATTTGCTTTGTCTTCATTGTTAAAGCAAACTGAAAGCTTCCAGTGAATGATTTCTGGAAACCACTGCATTGTGGAAGATGGCTGGGATTTTGGTTTTTTATGGTAGACAGGACGACACCCAAACACTTTGAAACACCACACAACGTGAACCAGACCAAACACGTGTTACAGTACTTTGAACCACAAACCTCCCAAGATACTGCTGGCTTGATATGAAAAAGGAGCGAGCATTCAAACACACGTATTGAAAATAGCAACGCTTTAATAAAGAGCCATTTTTACAAGACTGCAATGTCTAGCTAGTTAGGTGGTAACCGGCATTGACATCCATGGCGTTTTAGAGATGCAGTTGTGGTAACTGGGTTTGAAGTTTGATGGGTTACTTGCAAGTTGCATTGATCCATGCGAGGCAACCTTCAAACAGTTACAGACTCTACATCGTAAAACAGCTGATGATGAATGTCAAGAGGTAAGTTTAAAAAAAAGAAGTCTCAATGAGGAAGTTCATTTTCCAAACACACCGGTAAGAATGAGTTCACACTATGGTCATGCTTTTACCGGGCACACAAGCCAATAAAAAGACGACACATAATCATGCAAAAGAGACAGTTTTGTTTGTCTTTAGAAAATAAAAGAACCAAACCAAAAAAAAAAATCCTTGGAGTTCTGATATCATCCATCCTTAGTGACCTTGGATAAGAAGCTGCGCTTTGATGATGACTTTGGTGCAAAAAATGTTCCTGTTTCAAAGAGGACAGACCCCGTCCTGTCCTCTTTTTTTCAATGAAGACACTCTTGGTATTGACCAGTTGTGATAGTTTACCCCTGACCCCTCCCACCCACCCTCTTCCACCTTGAGATGGACACAAAGAGCACAAACATCGACCCAAGCCCATCCCTGGATGATGACACCTTCAAAAATACAACCATTCAAACACAGATACAGCAATAAATTGTCCAACATACAGTAAGTCATCCAATGGGGGCTTTGATCACGTTCACAGAGAGCACGGCTAAAAACACATGAACAGCATTACCTATATACAGTGGGGACACAGTAACAGTCACATCCCAGGGTGGCTTGAGTTGTGGAGCTGAATAACTCATTGAATAAAGTTTTCAGCTGAAGAAGAAGGACAAACCACTGGAACAAGAATGATGGTGGAGTGTAACAACAGCTGAACTTGTCAAATAGGTGAAACCTCACAACATATGCCTGCTTGGTGATGATTTCTAACACAAGTCTCTGCTGGTAATAGAGTCTTAGGTGCAGGGAGCCTGGTATGGGCTGATTTTTAACCTTCAATCACAGTACACTAACGTACGTTTGGTCTTCTCTGAAGATTTGGTTAGAAATAACCCGCCGTCTGAAGAGTTCAGTTTGACTGTACTCAGCAGGCGAACAATCCACCTACAGCTGATGTGTTGTACAGACTCAGACACTGTCACAAGAACACTCAATGCTAAGTTAGTACACACTACCATCTCGCTTAGAGACCCTCCATCTCTAACCGAGGAACATGACCCTGTTAATCTCTATGCGAAGGCATGTGCACACAAACACACAAAGTACATGTACATGGAACAGACACAATCAATAGAAAACGACTTCACCCCCAATCAATTATTGCCCCTTTTCACTGTACATCCCAGCAATGATTTTAAGGTTTTTGTGCAGCAGAGCATTGTTCCTTCTTCGAAGGTTTGTGCTATAAATATATGTATATATATATCATCAGACTGTGTCTGTCTTGACCTTGGATCTGCCAGAAAATCCACATTAGCATTTAATGCCTCATTAAGGCTCCTCGTCCCGGCTGTCTGGATTGATCTGTGCGCCATCACTGCAGGCGTTAGCAGGGTTGTGATCAGAAGACATTACCCTCGGCCGCTTTCGGATGGTTGGGTGTTCACTGGACTTCTCGCAATGACCTTAAGCTGTCCTGTTTGTATACGATAAGACTTCAAGAACCCAAGTCTTCTCGGTAAAGGTTACACAAAGACCGAAGTGCTTGCCCCAAATCCAGTTTTTCTGAGGTGAACAAGACTTAAAATTTAACTAATTTAGGAGAGAGAAAATTAAACAATTTTTGACTGATTAGACTGAAAATCCCCTTCTATGTTTCACTATTAGAGCAGTACAGGTATACAAGAGAAGGTTAAAAAACAAGCAGGAAAAATAAAAAATAATTCTATACAGAGAAAACATGGACAAACAAATTACAGTGTTGAAAAAAGCTTCTAAACAGACTGAAGATGTGAAAAAAGACAGTTAATGAGGTTTCACAATATCACACAGTTGCAGAAGGGGAAACAAAGAAGGAAACATTGTGTACAGTAAGTCCCCAAGTAGCAAAGTTAGTATGAGAGGTCTGTTTACATCCAAATGCAATAGCTGGGTCTGGCTCAGTGCTTTCATCGGTTAGTTCCAGTGCAGTAACACATTGGCACCCGGCAACATAGTCATGACATCAGGTACCAAAAGATAATTTACACACACACACAAAGTTCAAACTCTAAAGAGATATGTCCATAGACAACCACACAGGCATACCCCCCCAAAAAATCATTGTTTTACGCATTTAAGAACAAATGATCAAAGATGCCGCTCACTGAAATGTAGAAAAAAAAGCTAACACCCGCAAGCATTCAAATCACTTGTGACTTCAAATGATGGTGACAAGCAATCAGGAACCAATCTTAACAAGATGCTAGAATCATCTACACAGAAACACACCCTTGGCAAAAGTTCACATTGAGTAAAGTGCCAGCAAATGATCGAATCAGAGAAAGAGATGCTTGCCCTCCAAGTTTGACTCAGATGTTGGATAGGGAGAGATGTGGGTAAGTTTTCATACTGGTTATTAACAGGAGGGGTGGCTCAGGAGAAGGTGAAGAACCTCCGTATAGCTGTCAGTCTCTGCTATGTCAGCATAGGCTGTGATTGCCATTAGAAAAGGCCAAACAAAGATAAGCTGGGCTGAACTGATGAGGAGGCTCCGATGCTCCAGGGTTGTACTGGGTTAAGGACAGACAAATCAGTAGCCACATGGAGAATAGAGGGTGAAGTGACAATAAATTGACATCAGCATTTCATCTTCTATTAATCCTCCGCTCCGGTCCTCCAATCCCCTCGTCGTTCTTTCTTCCTCCTGCACTGGATTTGGTTCTGTATTTGTTTGCCATCAGCTCTTTCTTTTCCATCTTTCTCTTGCCTCTTCTCTTTCAGCTTTGCTGCTATGGTTACAACATCATCTCTACATGAAATGCATCTGCAGAAGGCAAAGAGGAGAAATGAGAGTAATTCAGTCCAACAAAACACCTCATC